GTTTAAGCATTGAATTTCATAATCTCAGAGCTATGCTTTCTTTCGCGCTGATGTGTTCGAAAGTTCAAGACCAAGTTGAAACGATTAAGTCACTACACATAAAGAACGCTTGAATGAATATGCATATATCAGTGGTGGATTGCTCTATGCGTCAAAAATAATTAAAAATATATAATTTTCTATTAGGAAGAAATTTGTTTTATAAATTTATCAGATATAAAATATTTCTATTCTAAGTAAATATGACAGTTACACACCCAACGGTATTCTCCCCACTTTATGATATACGCCAAAATACTTGGTGTGGAGTCCTGGCTTCCTTGGACACGTGTCGGAATAAAACGACGTATCTCTCCTTCCTCCTTTCACTATTATAAGGGTCACAAAATATTTCCAGGAAAATTTGAATAGCACTAGTGCACAGATAAAGACTTCAAAGATTGCTGACACTGTTTACCAGCCTCACTTGAAACCAGATCATGTATAAAATTCGTAAAACACGTGGCGGACTCAGTCCGACATAGGACCGCAAAGGACTAGCAACACTTCTTTGACTTCACTACTTGGCCAACGTTTTTGAATATCAAAATGTTATCAATCTACGCCTGTTCCAAACAAAAATATATCTTCCCTGCAGCTCGAAGTTCGTTTATTCAATTCAGTGTATCTGCAAAGCCTCTCGATTCTTTGTAATATTTCTATTAAAATGGTAAAGCTGTCCCGCTAACGCCATGTAGGCGCTTGGTGGGGAGTGGAGGTATAGCTCCTACTTACTCATTCTTGACCTCGGCACTAGGTGGGGGTGAGTGGTCAGCATCACGCCTCGGCCGGCTTTACCCCCGGGAAAGGACCCCGGTACCCATTGTAGAGGAGGCTGGGTGGGCCCCAGAGCCGGTCTGGACGCAGAGGCATCCTCTGCCCTCATCGGGGATCGAACCCCAGTCGTCTGCATGTAGCTAATCACTATACTGGCTGAGCTTCATTACTATTTCTAATTAGTTTCTCCCGAAGAGAATTTATTTCTTCTTTCAAAGTAAAATCGGAAAAAGTTTCTCACGGTTAGTAGCAAGTCTGAAATTGATGTAGAAGTCCAAGAACGCCTTTTTTACAGAACATAAATCAAAATCGTCCAATTTTGCATTCTTTCAACTTTTCGAGTCGGGTACTTGCGTAGGGTGCACAAACGACTGACTGTCCTTCCTTCTCTCTTTAATCCCCCTTATTATTTTTCTCCCACCGTTGCCACGGAAACGGCGGCAGTTTCGTTCTTCTATCAATTGCGCGGGGAAATGGCAAAAGAAGACTTTCTCTCCACTGCCTCACATTGCCGAATCGCATTATGTATTATTTCTCTTGCTTCGTTGCTAGTGGCTTTGACTTTTTTAGACTGCTGGATAGTCATAGGCTAAACAAGGCTATTTGTACATACATATATATA